TGTCTCTCTGTGTCTGTCTCTCTCTGTGTCTGTCTCTCTCTGTGTCTGTCTCTCTGTCTCTCTCTGTGTCTGTCTCTCTGTGTCTCTCTGTCTGTCTCTCTCTGTGTCTCTCTGTGTCTGTCTGTCTCTCTCTCTGTCTCTCTCTGTGTCTCTCTGTCTCTCTGTGTCTGTCTCTCTGTGTCTGTCTCTGTCTGTGTCTCTCTGTCTCTCTCTGTGTCTGTCTCTCTGTCTCTCTCTGTGTCTGTCTCTCTGTGTCTCTCTGTCTGTCTCTCTCTGTGTCTGTCTGTCTCTCTCTCTGTCTCTCTCTGTGTCTCTCTGTCTGTCTGTCTCTCTCTCTGTCTCTCTCTGTGTCTCTCTCTGTCTCTCTCTCTGTGTCTCTCTGTCTCTCTCTCTGTGTCTCTCTGTCTCTCTCTGTGTGTCTCTCTGTCTGTGTCTCTCTGTGGCTGTCTCTCTGTGTGTCTCTCTGTGTCTCTCTCTCTGTGTGTCTCTCTGTCTCTCTCTGTGTCTCTCTGTCTCTCTCTGTGTCTCTCTGTGTCTGTCTCTCTCTCTGTGTCTCTCTCTCTGTCTGTGTCTGTCTCTCTGTCTCTCTGTGTCTGTCTCTCTCTCTGTCTCTCTCTGTGTCTCTCTGTGTCTGTCTCTCTCTCTGTGTCTCTCTCTCTGTCTGTGTCTGTCTCTCTGTCTGTGTCTGTCTCTCTCTGTGTCTGTCTGTGTCTCTCTGTCTCTCTCTGTGTCTGTCTGTCTCTCTCTGTGTCTCTCTGTCTCTCTCTCTGTCTCTCTCTGTGTCTCTCTGTCTGTGTCTCTCTGTGTCTCTCTCTGTCTCTCTCTGTGTCTGTCTCTCTCTGTGTCTCTGTCTGTGTCTCTGTGTCTCTCTCTGTGTCTCTCTCTGTCTCTCTGTCTGTGTCTCTCTCTGTGTCTGTGTCTCTCTGTGTCTGTCTCTCTCTGTGTCTCTCTGTGTCTCTCTGTGTCTCTCTCTGTCTCTCTGTGTCTCTCTGTGTCTGTCTCTCTGTGTCTCTCTGTGTCTCTCTCTGTCTCTCTGTGTCTCTCTGTGTCTCTCTCTCTGTCTCTGTGTCTGTCTCTCTGTGTCTGTCTCTCTGTGTCTCTCTGTCTGTGTCTCTCTGTGTCTCTCTGTCTGTGTCTCTCTCTGTGTCTGTCTCTCTGTGTCTGTCTCTCTGTCTGTGTCTCTCTGTGTCTCTCTGTCTGTGTCTCAGAGGTCGCTGGACGTTGAAGTCCGGACTTGTTTCTTCTCTGAACCGTCTCTGGCTCCACAGGTACATCAGTGACATAATCGCTGACGTCATCGTGTTCCACCTGTCTGGTTCTCAGTGATGATGTCATGTCGTTTGTTACTAAATGTCGTCCAATCAGGAAGAGGAGGAGGCGGGGTGTGGGCGGAGCTTCCAGTCAGGCGTAGACAGCACGTCGTCCCTCTGCACGGAGGAGGAGGAGGAGGAGACCAGGTGAGTCCTGCTGTTCACTGGTTGGTTAGTTTCTGCCCCGTTAGAGGCAGAGCTTAAAGCTGGTTGGTTCACGCTGCATTCATGTCGTATTGTAGATCACGTGAGATTCTAACGTCTTTACTGTGACGGAGACGAACCAAAGCTGTTCAGTCTGATCCGGACTGAGACCACCATGAGGACCAGGTTCTAGACCTGCAGTCATGGTGCTTTGTGCAGACCCTGAAACCCTCAGGGTTCTGGGTTCTGGTCCGGGATGCTTCGGTTTCAGACCTGATCAGTAGTGATGCAGACCTTCTAATCATTTCTGAACTAATCAGTTTCTCCTCCAGACCTGAAGTCCAGCAGGGAGCAGGAGCAGCAGGAGGAGAGAACTATGAAGGAGACGATGAGACCTCTATTGCTGAAGCAGTCACCTCCTGCAGGAGGAGCAGCAGCAGGAGCAGCCAGGTCCAGATCCAGCAGGTCAGAGTCTGTCGATGTTTGTCTGTAGATGTCTCTCTCTCTGCCTGCCTCTCATGTGTGTGTGTGTGTGTGTCAGTTGAAGGAGGAGAACATGTCCTTGAGGAGGTCCATCATGGAGCTGCAGAAGAGATCAGATGCTAACAAGCACAGGTTAGCATCATCAGCCAATCACAGCGCAGTATCGGGCAGAGAGTATTTACCCATCATGCATCTGTTCTGCTCCTCAGGGTGGGGGAGCTGTCGGAGGAGCTGGTCCAGAGGAGGCGTCAGGAGGAGAAGGAGGCTCAGGATCTGGAGAGCATGGTTCACTCTGTGGAGCAGAACCTCCAACTGATGACCGTGAGAGTACTGTTCCTTTAAGAGGCCTGAGGAGGCCTCACTTTCTGTTTACTGTCTCTCTATTCAATTCAGAGAAACTTTATTGACATGAAAGAATTCAAACACAAATTTAATAGGAGTATAATGAATGTAATATCTCCAACTTTATCTGCCTGCCTCTCTCTCTCTCCTCTCCCTCCCTCCCCCCCTCTCTCTCTCCCTTCCC